GGAACAGAGAAGAACTACTAAAACACCGAGAAAAAAAGTAACAAAATGGCAATAAATACATATTTATCAATAGCTACTTTAAAAGTCAATGGACTAACGCTCCAATCAAAAGGCATATGGTGGCCAAATGGATAACAAAATAAGTCCCATATATATATATATGTTGCATACAAGAGACACACTTCAGACCTAAAGCCACTCACAAACTTAAAGTGAAAGGATGGAAAGAGATATTCCATGCAAATGGCAAAGAAAAGAAAGTGGGGGTAGCAATACTTATATCAGACAAAATAGACTTTAAAACAAAAACTATAACTAGAGACAAAGATGGGCACTACATAATGATAAAGGGAACAACCCAACAAGATATAACACTTGTAAATATTTATGGACCCAACATAGGAGAACCTAAACATATAAAGCAATTATTAACAGACATAAAAGGAGAAATAGACAGTAACACAATAAGAGTAGGGGAATTTAACACTCCACTTACACCAAAGGATAGATCATCCAAACAGAAGATCAATAAGGAAACACTGGCCTTAAATGACACATTTGACCAGATGGACTTAGTGGATATATATAGAACATTCCATCCAAAAACCACAGAACACACATTCTTTTCAAATGCACATGGAACATTCTCCAGGATGGATCACACATTAGGCCACAAAACAAGCCTCAATAAATTCAAGAAGATCAAAATAATATTATGCATCTTTTCTGACGACAAAGGTATGAAACTAGAAATCAACTACAGGAAGAAAATCAGAAGAGCCACAAAAATGTGGAGATTAAACAAAATGCTACTGAACAATGACTGGGTCAATGGAGAAATAAAAAAATTCCTGGAGACAAATGAAAATGAAAATATGACATGCCAAAATCTGTGCGATACAGCAAAAGCAGTTCTAAGAGGGAAGTTTATAGCAATTCACGTCTACCTCAACAAACAAGAAAAATCCCAAATAAACAGTCTAAAAGCACACCTAAGGGTACTGGAAAAAGAACAACAAACAAATCTCAAAATCAGCAGAAGGAAGGAAATAAAAATCAGAGCAGAAATAAATGAAACAGAGACTAAAAAGACAATAGAAAAAACTAATGAAATCAAGAGCTGGTTCTTTGAAAAGATAAACAAAATTGACACCCTTAGCCAGACTCACCAAGGAAAAAAGAGAGAAGGCTAAAATAAATAAAATCAGAAATGAAACAGGAGAAATTACAATGGACACCTCAGAAATACAAAAGATAATAAAAGAATGCTATGAAAAGCTATATGCCAACAAATTGGATAATCTAGAAGAAATGGATAAATTCTTAGAATCAACAACCTTCCAAAACTGGACGAAGAGGTAGCAGAGAATTTGAATACACCAATCACCAGTAAGGAGATCGAAACAGCAATCAAAAACCTCCCAAAACATAAAAGTTCAAGACCAGTTGGCTTCCATGGTGAATTCTACCAAACATTCAAAGAAGACTTAATACCTATCTTTCTCAAACACTTCCAAAAAATTGAAGAGGAGGGGAGGCTTCCTAACTCATTCTACGAAGCCAACATTATTCTGATACCAAAACCAGACAAGGACAACACAAAAAATGAAAATTACTGGCCAATATCACTGATGACCATCGATGCAAAAATCCTCAACAAAATACTAGCAAATCGAATACAACAATAGATTAAAAAGATCATACATCATGATCAAGTAGGTTTCATTCCAGGAATGCAGGGATGGTTCAACATCTGCAAATCTATCTATGTGATACACCATATTAACAAAATGAAGAATAAAAATCACATGATCATCTCAATAGATGTAGAGAAAGCATTTGACAAGATACAGCATCCATTTATGATAAAAAAAATCTAAATAAAATGGGTATAGAAGGAAAACACCTCAACATAATAAAGGCCATATATGACAAACCCATAGCAAATATCATTCTCAATGGAGAAAAACTGAAAGCTATCCCTCTAAGAACAGGAACCAGACAAGGATGCTCACTGTCATCACTCTTATTTAACACAGTGCTGGAAGTCCTATCCAGAGCAATCAGGCAAGAAAAAGAAATAAAAGGGATCCAAATTGGAAAGGAAGTAGTGAAACTGTCACTCTTTACAGACAACGTGATTTTATATGTAGAAAAACCTAAAGAATCCAATAAAAAAACTTTTAGAAATAATAAATGGAGTCAAGTTGCAGAATACAAAAATCTGCTGCATTTCCATACACTAACAATGAAGTAGCAGAAAGAGAAATCAAGAATACAATCCCACTTGAAACTGCAACAAAAAGAATAAAATACCTAGGAATAAACTTAACCAAAGAGGTGAAAGATCTGCACACGAAAAACTATAAAACGTTGTTGAAAGAAATCGAAGAAGACACAAAGAAATGGAAAGATATTCCGTGCTCTTGGACTGGAAGAATTAACATCGTTAAAACGCTCATAGTTCCTAAAGCAATCTATATATTCAATGCAATCCCTATCAAAGTTCCAACAACATTGTTCACAGAAATAGAACAAAGAATCCTAAAATTTATATGGAACAACAAAAGACCCCAAATAGCCAAAGGATTCCTGAGTAAAAAGAAGAAAGCTGTAGGTATCACACTCCCTGATTTCAAAAACTATTACAAAGCCATAGTAACCAAAACAGCGTGGTACTGGCTCAAAAACAGACACACAGATCAATGAAACAGAATCGAGAGCCCAGAAATAAACCCACACATTTACAGACAGATAATATTCAACAAGGAAGCCAAGAGTATACAATAGAGAAACGATAGTCTCTTCAATAAATGGTGTTGGGAAAACTGCACAGCCACATGCAAAAGAATGAAAGTAGACCATTACCTTACACCATGCACAAAAATGAACTCAGAATGGATTAAAGACTTGAGTGTAAGACCTGAAACCATGAAACTTATAGAAGAAAACATAGGCAGTATGCTTTTTGACATCGGTCTGAGCAGCATATTTTTAAGTACCATGTCTGACTGGGCAAGGGAAACAAAAGAAAAAATGAACAAATGGGACTATATCAAACTAAAAAGCTTCTACACAGCAAAGGAAACCATCAACAAAACAAAAAGACAACCTTTAACAATTGGGAGAAGATTTTTGCCAACCATATATGAGATAAAGGGTTAATATCCAAAATATACAAAGAACTCATCATCTCAACAACATAAAAAACCAACAACCCAATTAGAAAAAGGGCAAAAGATCTGAACAGAGATTTCTCCAAAGAAGATATGCAGTGGTCAACAGGCATATGAAAAGATGCTCAACATCATTAGCTATCAGGGAAATGCAAATCAAAACTACAATGAGGTACCACCTCACTCCAGTCAGAATGGTTATACAGGACAGGAAAGAACAAGTGTTGGAGACGATGTGGAGAGAAGGGAACCCGGGTACATTGCTGGTGGGAGTGCAAACTGGTGCAGCCACTATGGAAAGCTATATGAAGTATCTTCAGAAAATTAAGAATAGATCTACCATACAATGTAGCTATCCCACTGCCGGGTATTTATCCAAAGAACTTGCAACACACAAATAGGCAAATTGTCAAAAAAGGCACATAATGATACATGTACCCCTATGTTCACTGCAGCATTATTCACAATAGCCAAAACTCGAATGTAACCTAGGTGCCCATCAAGGGATGAATGGATAAAGAACACGTGGTATACATACACAATGGACTACTCCTCAGCCATAAGAAACGATGAAATCCAGTCATTTGTGACAACATGGATGGACCTTGAGGGTATTATGCTAAGTGAAGCAAGTCAGAGGGAGAAAGTCAAACACCATATGATCTCACTCACAAGTAGAAAAACAACAACAAACAAATACATAGCAACAGAGATTGGACTGGTGGTTACCACAGGGGAAGGGGGAGGGAGGAAGGCAAAAGGGGTGATAAGGCTCACATGTGAGGGGATGGACTATAATTAGTTTTTGGGTGGTGAACATGATGTAATCTACACAGAATTCGAAATATATTACGATGTACATCTGAAAGCTATATAATGTTATAATCCAATGTTACTGCAATAAAATAAAAAATAAAGATTTCAATCAACATATACCACTAGCAGAATTTATACATGATAAAAAATTAAACAATGTGTCTATGTCTGATACTACATATATGGCAACAAAAATGGCCGACATGGGGAGTTCAATTCAACCATTCATCCATTTACAGATGCTAATACAACTAACAGTGAGCAGGCAATCTCCTTTTTTTGGTAGCACTTACCACAATTACTGATTTTCTTCCTTATACTGTGTGTATCTGTTTCTCCTATGACATTCCATGAGCAAAGGAAATACATCTAACTTGTTTGCCATTACATCCCTGGACCTTTGTAAAATGTGTTAGACATAGTAGATGGTCAAATACATGTGAAATGAATGAATAGGACATGTGATTATCAGCTCAAACCAGTTTGTCATTTAATTACTCAGTGTTTTTCAATTAGTTAAGACACAGTCCACATTTTCTCACTGAAAGCAGTGAACAGCTGTTTTCTCTTCAGAACAACTTCTAGTGGCCTAATCCAATTATTGAAAAGTAATCACATTATCCTGTCCTCATCAGACTCTTTCTCCAACACACAAGAAAAGCAGAATGGCTGAGGCACAAATGAACAAGTACAAGAGAGCAGCCCTCTCCATCAACCTCTTAGACTTAAAGAAATAAGAAAACACCACCACATATGCACCTGGAAGAAAGAATACTGAATACTGCTTCCTACCACAGAGCAGTGGCAGGGTTCTCAAGAGCTCTGGAGACTTCAGAAGCTCTTTGGCAAAACATTCTAAGTCGAATGACAGCAATACGACGGTAGCCATGATAAAGGAAAATCTAAAACTGGTAAATGCTTTGAATTTTTAAAAAAGCGAAGTAAAACGGCATGTACTATCATGACTAAAGATAAAATCTATTATAAAAAACACAACAAACCAAAAACTCAAGCTCAAACTCATTCTTTAATGATATGAACAATACTGTATTATAAAGTCCTTTTGTTGGTCCTGACATTGTAGAAATAATTTTTTTAGAATGTAAAAACTGCAAGAATGCAAGAGTTGAGAGTGAGAGCAGCTCTTACCTTTTTATTCTCTGTACAATAAAATGGCACTTTAACAATATTGGTATTTCCCTAATTATCAGTTTGTAATTTTAGCACCAAAAACTCAATTCCTAAGCAAATGTTTCCTGCTTTGCAAACTATGGAAATACACAAGCATTTCACATCATTCAAACATTTATTCATCTATTGTATATAAATCAATCATTTAAAAACACACTAAAGAAAATTACTTCTTCCTTCTCTTTTTAGGTGAGTGTTCCAAAAGTGGGGTAAGTTCAATCTCCTCACTGTGCTTTCTTTTCTTCTTTTTCTTTTTATGGTCACTCTGGTAACCACTGGAGTCACTGCCTTGGAAAACAGGGTCCTGGTCCTGAACTTCCTGGTGCTTTTTCTTCTTTTTCTTCTTCTTCGGCTCTTCTTCCCAGAGGCCATTCACATTATTAATCTGCAGGTCTGTCTTGTCTGTCACGGTGCCATCTGCAAAATCTGCTAACTCTGTGCTACCACCTTCCACCTCATATGGCTCTGGGTCTTTCTTCTTTTTCTTTTTCTTCTTTGGAGGTTTTTCAACAGCTTCTTCCGTGCCCGTTTCTGTTACTTCTTCAGAAACTGCAGAGCACTTGGTTTGTAAACTATAGATTAACAGTTTAAAAATTTTACAGAGCAATAAGCAAAAATAAAAGAATAAAATGAGACGAAAAATATGTCAACATGCTAAGATTTTTCTAAATAATGGCAGTAGTACAAGATACATAACTATGGCATAAACTTCAAATACTCTATCCTATTATCCCTCACTCCACCAAAATGTCTTGGAAATGTTAAAATTTTTGTTTCCAAAGTACTTCTCCCAAACTGTTTTTACACATAAAAATGACATGAAAATTTTATGAAAACATGGCTTCTAAATTTTGGTTTAAGAAAAATTTGGGTACTCAACATTAAAGATCACAGTATCCAGGCTTATTAGCCATACCACTGACACTTGATAGAGAGAAAATATACTTCTGGTATCGATTAAAGTAATGGAGTTTCCCACCTACTCTCAATCCTTGTTTCAAATAATAGTTCATTGCTATTCTTAGCCTACGCTGACCAGTATTACTTCACAATTGTGAATTATTTTATATCACGAAAATAAAAACAAAGATCAATGAAGTAACCCTCTCTCTAGAACTACACAGTCCTAGCCACGTATAACTATTTAAATTTAAAGAATTTCAATGAGATAACTTTCAAAATTCTGTTCCTCAAATTGCGCTAGTCACATTTGAAGTGCTGAATGGTGAAGCTACTGTATTGCACAAATACAGCACATTTCTATCATCACAGAAAGTTCTATTATCTGCTCTAGAACATTAACCCATACTCTTGTTACTTATCAAGGCAGAATCTAGAAAAAACTGTTAACACCAGCAGTATTCCAAGTTTTTTTCCTTCTCCCCATTAAACCTGGCTCCTGTGGAACCAAGCTCAAGATCAGAGTAATTCTCATAAGAATTTCAATACAGAAAAATATAGAAATTATCTACCTGGCAAACTGATAATAATCAAATTATTTTTGTTTCAACTGCATAAAAATAAAAGCAGACTAATAGTTATACAATATGATTAAGCTTTTAGTAGTTTCAACCTCAGGGATCAATTTTTTAAAAACTTAACAAACTAGAAAATAGTCGGCAAAATTGAGTTATTAAAACACACACGGGTTAGCTAGACACAGAGCTTTAGAATATTTAATATATTGTCATAGCACTTAAGATTCCTATTTACACTGACTTTATGGTTTGAAAGCATAAATATTCTAATAAAAAAATTAATTTTTAAAAAGAGGGGCTTATGTTCTCTAAATTCAGAATTAAATAGAACTGATTAAGTATGAAAATGATAATAAAGTGATTAGGAACTGACCTACTGATATTTAGTTTTCCCCGAATGCAGAATACTCCAGCAGCATCTGAGTCTAAACGAAATACTTCAAATTCTAGTTCATCACCCACATTAATCTCCAGAGTCTGCCACTGCTCAGATGGCATCTGCTCAGGTTTAGGGATGGAGGCGTTGAAACACCCATGTACTAAACAGCCAATGTGGCTGGAAGACACTTTATTAACTGTACCCTGGGAAGAAGAAGGAAAAAAGAGAATAACATAAGGAAGAGATGCAACGCATAAAAAGTGGATCACACTTTAGGAGCTTCAAACCAATCTTCAAAGAGAAAACTTAAAAATAACAGTATAATTTGATATGGAAAAAAGTTTACCTCAATTAAAACTTACCATGTTATACTAAAACATCGTTTTATATGACCTTCTGGAAAACACAAAACTATGGGGAGAGTACAAAGATCAGTGGTTGCTGGGGTTTTAAGGGGAAGGAGGGATGAATAGGTGGCACGCAGAGGATTTTTAGGGCAGTGACCGATTATTCTATAGGAGAATGTAATAGTGGATACACGTCATTATACATTTGTCAAAACCCACAGAAGGTACAACACAAAGAGTCCACTCTAATATAAACTACAGACTTTATTTAGTAACAATGTATTGATATTGGCTCAATAATTGTAACAAATGTACCACACTAACGCAAGATGATGTCAGTAACAAGAGAACAGTGTGTTTGTGTGTATGTTGGGGGAAAGTGAGGAAAGGCATATGAGAACACTACTTTCCACTTGATTTTGCTATAAAGCTAACACTGCTGTAAAAATTAAGTTTTATCAATTAAAAAAATATTCACTGGAAAGAAAAGTCTTTTCAACATATGGGTCCGGAACAAGTGAATAGCTATATGGACAAAAAAATGGTTCTCCAGGGCCTACCTCACACTACACACAAAAAATTAAAGATTTATCACAGACCTAAATGGAAAAGCAAAAACTACAAAAACTCTAGAAGCTTAAAGAAGAATATCTTCACAACCTAGAGGGAAGCAAGTTTCTTAGATAGGATCCAGAAAGCAATAACCATAAAAGTGTACAATAAATTGGATCTCATCAAAATTAAAAGCTTGTTTATCAAATGATAACATTAAAAGTTAAGAGACACGTCATAGACTGAGAGGAAATATTCACAGTACATTTATCTGAAAAGGATTTGTATTAAGACTACAAAAAGTACTACACCTCAATAATAACAATACAAAAAGCCAACTAAAAATGAGCAAAGTACTTTAACAGGCCCTTATTATTGAAACACATGAAAAAGAGTTCATGAGGGAAATGCAAATTAAAACCATAATGAGAAACTACTATATGCCTATCAGTAACATTAAAAGACTGTGGCAGCCTGAGGTTCACCGGCTTGGATCTTGGGCACGGACCTAGACACTGCACGTACGGTCATGCTGTGGCAGCATCCCACATAGAAGAACCAGAATGACCTACAACTAGGATATACAACTAGGTACTGGGGGTTTGAGGAGAAAAAAAAAAGGAGGAAGATTGGCAATAAATGAATGTTAGCTCAGGGGCCAATCTTCCTCACCAAAAACAAAAAACATGTTGAACAAAAGAGGCCAAATTTTACAACAGTGCATAATGAAAAATTCCATTAATATACAAGTACAGAACAAGCAAACCTAATTTATGATAAAGGAAATCAGAACAGTGGTTGCACCTCGGATAGACAGAAGTGACCAGGCAAGGGCATGAGGCTCATTTCTAAGGAGACAGAATGGTAACATGTACTTGTCAAAAGTCACTGAACCGCAGACTATGATCTGTGCATTTTACTGTACATAAATTATATCTTACACACTTCAATGCATGTAAATCATGCCCTATTACTAAAAATAAATAAAAATTGGAATAAACTAAAGGGTCAAATATATTTGAGGACTGCATTTTGTTGTAGGGGATAGAGTAAAAGGGATAATTTTACTTTTCCTTTCATGCTTTCTGTAAAATTTGAATGTTATTTCCATGTACATGTTTACATTTATGATAATTTATCCAAAGCACATGACAGTTAAATATGGGAATTTTTAAGTACAAATCTACTGCCAACCTTAAGATTATGGAGGCTGGTTGTAGGATCCCAGTTTGACAGGCCAAGGATACTATTTCTACCTGTTTAAGTGACACTGAAAAATTAAAAAAATTTTTAAAAGTCTTGTAGATTTTGTTATAGTGAAATCTAACCTACAGATTTATTAACAGTATCAACGGTTAGTTAACAGTTCTTATCTTTTAGATTAAGCAATTCCTATAAAAATTTTTCTTTTTTAAAGAAAAACTATATATACACACATAATATAAATATATAAATATATATGCACATATAAACATATATACACATAGAACATCTGGCAGAAGAGAGGAGGAAGTGAAGAAGATAAAGGGATACATTTCAGTGGCCTTCACATCAGCTTCTGTATTTCTAGCTTCTTTTCAACTGAAAGACCTTCCCCGCAGGGCCTTCATTCCCATGGTATAATATGGGTTCCCTGATGCCCAAGCTTCATTCATTTTCTTTATCTGCCTGGTCCCACAACCATTTGAATTTGCAACTCCTGTTTTATATACTGCTATACTGTTTGAATCCTTTATAAAAAAACCCCTTTATTTGTGTATAATTGAGAAATTACAAAAATTGATCTTTTACCCCGTAAGACGATTCTGGTGCTATACTAAGAAAAGAAAAATTAGATGGGACACATACTCTGTACATGCATGGAGAGGAGGATGCAGTTTAAAAACTTATCTAGGTTAAACTGATGGAAAATAATTTCTCTTTTAAAATTATTTTTAGGGGGTGGCCTGGCTGCCTAGCAGTTAAGTTCAGACACTACGCTTCAGTGGCCCAGGTTTGGTTCCCAGGTGTGGACCTACACCACTCATCAGTGGCCAAGTTGTGGTGGCGACCCACACACAAAATAGAGGCAGACTGGCACAGATGTTAGCTCAGGGTGAATCTTCTTCAGGCAAAGGGAGGAAGACTGGTGACGGATGTTAGCTCAGGGCGAATCTTCCTCAGCAAAAATAATAACAATAATAATTTTTAATTACCCACAATAGCAATCTATTTGAGTCCCAAGGTATACAGTCTCTTAAAATTTTCTGAATTACACAATTATATAACTACACAAAGAAAGCTAGAAAAAAAGACATACATACCATAAGCTTTTGCCCCGGTTCAGGGCAGAAAATAACAAAATCTGCTTCAATGTTAAGATGAATGTGGCCTTGATCATCATAAATATCTCCCAGTTCACCCACCACTTTGATGTTATCATATGCAATGGGGACACCTAAAAGGCTGTAAAAAAAAAAAAAAACAACAACAAAAAACCCAAAGAAAAAACACAACAGCATATGATTAGCCTGTAACAACTTCAGTAGTACAATTTCACCAAAGAGTTCCAATATTGGCTAAACTAAAAATGATTATTCAGGATAGGTACCCAGAGACAAAATGTCCTATTATGCAGGAGCAATAAAGTTGACCTTCTTCCCTATTTGCTACTCATTTGAATTCTAGTCATGCTAGAATGAGAGAAAAAATAGGAGTTGGCAAGAAAAATGTCTGTGTATTTCTGTATAAGTGAATCAAGGCAATTTTGGTATTAGCCACCATTACCGAGTTTCTGTACTAGATGGTATACAGCAAGAGAAGCTGAAGCCCGTGAATATTAAAGCCAATGACTTAGTGGAGAAAAATCCTCAAGCTACAACTGTTGCTAGTCAATGAAAATGTTAAGAAATACAACTATACCAGTTATTGAGCACTGACTCTAACGCTTTAGATTAGTTTACATGTTTCACAGTCAAAATTAGCGGGCAACAACTATTTCAAAATGTCATTTCCAACCTCTTAAGGAATTACAACTACTAAGGAGGCAGACCAGGTGGCTTCACTACCACACCCCCTACTTGTTCCAGGAAACTTCCCTGACTCCCCCAGGAAAGGCTGAAATCACTCCTCCTCTACTCCTACAGCACTTCATGCACACTGTGATCACTGTTCTTAACCTCATTTTATTGAATCTATTGGTATACATGTGTGGATTCCACACACAACTCTAAGGGCCTGGGGAGCAGAAAACATTTTTGTTGAACTCAATTAAATTTCTAGAATGATTCACAAAGAATAAGAGAAAGAATTTACTCCTAAGAGTTGTTAAGTAAAACAGCTAGGAGCCACTGGAAAGGAACTTTAATAAGTACCAAATTAGGAAAACCAGAAATTCAGAGACTTAGTCCAGAAAGTACTCTTTTACTTTGTTAATTTCTGCTTGTGGCTTTCCTAAGCAGTAACTATACCATCACTAAGAAAATACTAGGGGCACAGAAAACACAGAGTTAGTGAACAAGAAGGAAGGGGGAAAAAGGTAATTACCATATTAGATAGAAAAATAAAATGAAGAATTTGTTTCTCCTAATCAACAATTAGAATCTCAAGTGGGGGGAAATTTGTTGTCCCCTACGAGGAACTTTGGAATCTGTGGTACTAATCATGGTTGTCACAATCACTGGCAAAGGCCAAGGATGGGAGACATTCTGTCATGTACAGGACAGTCCTGTACAATGAACAAATATCCCTGGTCTTACCTGACTTTTGAATGAGGGGACAAACCTATTTATAAAAAGCTGGGCATAGAATCTAACTTAAAAAAAAATCAATATAATGTCATCTTTGCACAGTTTTACAAATTTCCAGGAATGTAGCTAATACCTAAATGCAAGGGTAGATTGTTCTGTGTAGAACTTTACCAAGAATTACTCATTATTTCAGAAAAGCATTTCACCAATGGAGATACTGTGTGTGTTATCTGTTGTCAACTCAAAACCCTTGCATCAATCCACACTGGGGACTGACACTTGCAATGGTTCTAGGTATAGGTACGGGAGGCATCTAACTACTTCAGTCTTCCCAGGTAGTCATACTTGAGCATCATCATATTGAAATATTTTACTGTATGGTATTAGAGCACTATATAGATTTCTTATTTTGCAATTGTGTAGGTAGCTTATACTAAGTTTCATTTCAGCACAGTAAAGAGTGTTTTCATGATAGTAAAGGTAGTACTGCTAAATATTTCTCATAAGAGGGAGGTATTGGGTTCTGGGGGTTCAGAAGTTCAGAACTACTGACTAGGGAATGAGACCATAGAGCCTAAGTGCAAAAGGATTGGTGTAAATCCATCAAAACTTTGGGAAAGCAACTCAAAGTATGAAACTTACTAAAAGTCATCAGATATACAAAGACAGACACCTCAACACTACATATCTTTTCCTCTTTCACTTGTGTTTTTCTGAAACCATCCTAAGTAGGTTTCAGAGCAGGGTGGTAGCCTCACTTGAGATCTTCAGAGAACAATTAAATCAAGTTTAAGAGATGCTTAGATTGCACACTTAAGACTTCTCTGGAACTACTGGGAGGGAACATATTTGCCACTTTCAACTCAAGAGCTGTCATATACAAGAGGGATAAGTTTTTTTTTCCTTAATGGCCTCTCAAAGGTACATCTTAGAAGTTATAATGTGATTTTAGAAAACTACTTACTTTCTCTAAGCAGATTTTCCAAAATCAAAATGGGATCTCTAAGTCAAATACTTTGTGATCTCACTCATCAGTAAAAGATAAAAACAAGGACAAATACACACATAGCAATGAAGATTGGATTGGTGGTTACCACAGGGGAAGGCGGGGGAGGGCAAAAGGGGTGATTAGGCTCACGTGTGAGGGGATGGACTATAATCAGTTTTTGGATGGTGAACATGATGTAATCTACACAGAATTCAAAATATATTACGATGTACATCTGAAAGCTATATATTTGTTATAACTGAATGTTACTGCAATTAAAAAAATTTTAAAAAAGGGATCTCTGTTTTTTTTAGAATGATTGTTTTTTTTTTTTTTAAAGATTGGCCCTGAGCTAACATCTGTTGCCAATCTTTTTTTCCCCTTCTCCCCAAAGTCCCCCAGTACATAGTTGTATGATCTAGTTGCAGGCCTTTCTAGTTCTACTATGTGGGACACTGCCTCAGCATGGCTTGATGAGTGGTACTAGGTCTGCACCCAAGATCCGAATCGGTGAAACCCCGGGCCGCCGAAGCAGAATGTGCAAATTTAACCACTGGGCCACAGGGCTGGCCCGAAATGGGATCTCTTTTAAAAAATTCTGTCACTGGGGGAACAAAGGTGCACAGTCTGTCAAATAGGGGATATGCTGAGACAACTTAGACTAATGAGAGCCATTCTCAATACCTCTCTTCTCCTCATTTCTTAAATAAAGAGAAGCCAGTCCTCCTGATTCTACAGGACGGCCCCAAAGTCTGGAAACATGAACAACTATACATGATAAATGGTTTAATTAATATTACAATTCTTTACGTTCAATGTTTTGTCCCTCATTAGTAATGCATAGTTCAATGTGTGGTGCCTGATTTGCACTGAATAAACGAGAGTCTTTAGCACACCTCACAAGTAATAGGGGTTGGGGAGTCCAGAGCTGTCCAGAATGCAACCTGCTCCACACGGCCACAGTGTCCAATTCAGTTATAGAAATTATCATTCAATCAGTTCCTCATCTCTCTGGTGTAACGGGTTCCTATTGGAGCCACTTCGGGCGACTTTCCCTTAGCTGTCAAGTGGAGGTTTTAATTGGTTAAAGAAAGTAGTAAAATAAAGCAAACAGTTGCCTATGTTTTCAGATTTTATGACCACCTTGTGTATCCTTAAATCTTTCAAATCCATCCTCTCTAGTCACTTTTCTCTTGGAAAATTACTTCCAACTTTCCAATTACTTTCTCTTGGAAAATTTCTCTTAACTGGTCTCTGTGTCTACTGTCTCACCCTCCTTAAACCATTATCTAATGCTACCAAGTGCTGGTTCTTAAACTGCAAATCTGATTATGTCTCAGAGATCAGGGACATATACTACTCTCTTAAGAGTATGCCAGTTTCACAGTTGGAGGGTATTGAGAGGATGAAGTGCTAACCCTGCTTAAGCCAAAAACACACAAACAAAAAACTGGCACAGGTAGCGAGGGAAGAGCAAAATGGCTATCTTCTCTCAGTTGTCCCCTACCCCATCTTTGACCCACTGCCCTCCTCTCCACCTGCACCCAACATCTTTCCCTTGACATAAACCTTACTCCAGTTACACAGTACTTCCACTTCTCTGGTCAAAGCATTCTATTTCACATCTACCATCCACTTGTTTATGCCACTCTTTTTGCCTGAAATGCTACCATCTCAAAGAACCCTTCTCCTCTCAAGTTGTTCTCAAAAGGCCTAGGATTCCATTCAACACTGCTTCTCATACTATAACTTACTTTAGATTTGTCAAATTTTAACACTTCATTGGATTTATTTAGCTTACACTGATTTATCTCTACTAGAGCTTAACGTTCCTCGAAACAGGGATCTTGTTTTTTCTTTGTTTTTATATCCCAAATCCCTGGTATACAAAATAACAACTGTGTGTTGGTGCTTGGAGGAAGCTGTATACTCCAGATTTGCTTAATTCTTAACCTGTCTAGGGTTTAGAATCACTTGAGAAAGCGGTCAAAGCTTTGGATACTTTGCCCAAAAAAACTGACAGGAAATTTCTGCAATTTTCGGGGGGGGGGGGGGGAGTCATGAAATTTCTTAAGGGAAATAACAAATCCCTAGGGACTCCACTCACCCTAGTTCTGGAAGCCTTACCTTTGAGCTAAAGTAATCTGGAGGAGTATTAAGGTGCATCGGCCCCTGCTCCTCCACCCTTGTAATTCTGAGAGTTTAAGTTACTTTTGAATATCTTCGTTTAAATGCACCAGGTTTTCTTCACCCTCAAGAGCAATAGGCAGGCCAGTTAGACTAAACAAACTGCTCTTAAAAAGAAAACTAACTGTATTTCTCTCATTCCTGATTAGATCCAAGAAAAGAGAACCCAGGGAAAGTACCAGGGCCCAAACAAACAACAAAAACTGCCCTTTATGGTTTACAAATAAACGATTGCACTAAGGCTTCATGCGCAATTTTCTACAGAATGAGAGAGAATCTACTGAAGTACTGCATTCCAAACTTTCATCATCTAATGAGAAACTGGTCCTACTAAGTCTCCAGACCCCTGGTCTATTCCTACCCCTACACCCCGGTTCGGGAGCAAGCTTCCGCACTCCGTCCGCCGACACAATTCATGCCACCTTTAAGTTTTCTTTCTTGCCTACGAAAGGGTCCCTATACAGATCTTGACCAGGGAAGTAGTGGCCTTTCGGGGAGCATCGCGACTCCATAACGCCTCGGGGCTAAGCTCGCGGTGGCCAGTGCGACTTTTCCCTATCGCCCCCTTTCTGCTGCGCCATCAGCGGGTCCACTCGCTGTCCCCTCCCATGACCAAAAGAATGGACGGCAGGCTACTTCTGGCGTTGTCCGCTCGGCAAAACAAAAGGCTAAGAGGCTGATACCTCTCGGAATAGCGCAGGAGCTCCGCGTCGAGCTGTTCTCGGATACCGGTGCGTTTCCTGTTAAGGTAGCGCGGTGACAATGCGATGTGCCTTCGGTGCGGCCCCGCCACCAGGCAGGAGTAGCGGCTATTCAAAAGCGCACACGCGGCAGCGTAGGTCGGCAGCTCTAGGCAAGGCAGGACGCCGGCGGGGCCCACCACCGGCCCCTCAGAGGCCGCATTCGGCCGTGGAGCCTGTGAACAACCGGCAGCCATGCGGCTTGTCAGGTTTCCCACGGCGCGCGCCACTGACGCACTCATAACCACCTATCTCTCCGGACGCCCGGTTTCTACGTCATTCACCAGCTACCACGCCCCTAGGAAATTTCTCTCCTTGAGCTGCACTACCCAGTTCTGACCAGCAGCGGGCAACCGCTTTTTTTCGCACTTGGCCGACTTCAGGAGCTCGGAGCCTTTGGTCACGTACTGAGCATGCTCGAAGGCCAACCATCACCTGTCTCTTAAGAGCGGGCAAGCCTGTATTTTCGTAAATGTCCTGATAGGATTTAGTCTGTAGATTTAATAGAGGATCACACTTTGATCACTTCCAGTAGTAATGTGGTTTCCTAGACTTTACAAGCTTGGATAACACAATAAGAAGTTAAAAAATATTTATGGAATATATTTTCTGCAGGGAATCCAATCCTGAAAAGCAGCCCGGATGCCTCAAGTCTGAAAACGAACCCCTCCTGTCTCTCTGGTACTGCTCCTCTTCTCATTCCGTAATGACTAATTCAGGAAATCGTACCACCGCTTTACAAATGGCAGTCTAGCTGTCATCCTCGGGACCTCTCTTGTACCCCTAAACACCAAATCAGCCCCAAAGCCTGTGGGGCCCAAAGCCGAAACATCGCTCTCTTCGGACACTTCTCTCCTTCCTCACTTCCAAAACTGCAGAAATTGCCGCTGGAAGCCAGGTCATGAGGACGCTGAGGAGCAGTCAGATCTTCTCTGAAACACAAATATGACCAAGACTTGCGCAGTTTAAAGATTCACATAGGCGTCCCATTTTACTCAGGACAATTCAAACTCTAATACAAAATGGCTCTTAAATTACAAGGCCATTTTAGGATCCTCCCCCAGCAGCTTCACTGAGGGCACTCCCCACTTTAAGAATCTGCTAGCCACGACGCATGCTCATTGATCCACTTTCAGCTCGCGCTCTTCCTCTTCAGTCTTTTGCTGTTCCTTCTACTTGGGAATACGGTAGCTTCTCTTATATGAGAAAATTCTACTTATGGGTCAAATTTTAGCTCAGATTTTACATTATCTTCCTGGGCAGAGTTTACTACCGCGCTGCCCCTCTGCCCCCATAAGGGTTAGGTAGTTGTCCATCTTTGTAAATTACCACCATCAAGAGCTTGTTTTTATGTTAATTTTATGTTACTTGCCTATTTGTTTGTGGGTTCCTAGACTAGACTTCAAGCTCAGTAAGGCAGGGACCACGATATCTGCCTCATTCAGCAGTGCAACCTCCAAATGGCTCCAAAAAAAAAAAAAAAAAAAAAAAACCCAATGCATCTTGAATGAATGAATGAAATAACAGGTAATAAAGAGCTCACGGTCTATGTGAGGAAATAGGATCTAAAGATAAACATATAACATGGACTGCACTGCGTAAGTGACAAGAGAAACGTACAGCACGTGGTGGCGTGAGTACAAACACTCCTGCCTTCACTTGGTACCTGCAAAAAGCCTGTAACCTCTCTCAACCTGTTTTCCCACTTGTAAAATAATACTTGCCCTGCCTACTACAGAGATGATAGGAGGTTGAAATAAAATAAATAAAAAGCATTTTCTTTAGTATTCATTAATTGACTTCAAATTCAGCATGAGAGGATAATGGGATGAAACTGCTCCCAAAGTCCAATGATAAACATATTAAATTCCATACACGGGAAATGTAACAGCCTTACCTTGATGTTATTGCACAGTCCTGCAACAGATCTGTGCAATAAAACAATCAAAACCTCTCCTTGCAGTCAAGATGCATCGAGATTGTCTGCAAATGATTTCAATAAAAACAATTTGTCAGAAAGCAATTTAGTAAAACAAGCTGGACATGAGGACAAATCAGTCAAAACAAAACTTCACCTGAATTCAGGTACCCCAGTTATGATTTTCCACAAATTTTAAATATGGAGTGGTTTTGTCATCCTTTTTGTGTTCATAAGCAATTTAGAGATTTGCTTGTTTGATTTGCAAAGTATTTTCTACCTTTTAGTTTCCTAAGTTCTGGCTTGATTGTTAGCCTCTCTCCACACTCTGTGTGATTTGAAAGAGTGACAAGGTGATTCAGCCTCCTTGTAAGTGTTCACCATTGTGCAATTACTGTACCAAATTAACCTGTTCCTCCCACCACCCAGGGAAGAAGAAAATAGAAGTACAATGAGATCCTTCCCACCTGTCTCCCATCCCACACGCATACACAAAGCTCATTTGATCAGGACCTATAACTGGACTGCACCATTGTCTTTTTCTCTAAAAATTTGGTCAAAGTGCCACAAAGTCAGGCAGTGGTGGCCTCTGTCTCGTGAAAAGTCCTTGTCAAGCCAAAGGCAAGTAGGTACTAAGAAAATCCCCTTTCTACAAGGAGAAGAGAGAAGGTTAGAAATGACTTTGACCCCATGTCCACTGACCCCCAAGGAAGAGAGAAAAGTGTTCCCACAACTCTCTTTTTTTTTTGACCCTTGTCCTCTCTCTTGCCAACATGCATGCACATACACTGTGTTCTGTTACTGTGTTTCTATTCCTCACAATCAGAGTATCACTGGAGCAATGTAACCATGCAATAATTGGTGGTTTGCTGAAATAAATTACAAAGTAATTTGTGCTGTATGCTCCGATTTTTATAGGAAATATGTACACTTTTATGATTAGAAGAGAATCTAGATGTATAAATACCATATGCGAGTATTAGTTATCTCTTGAGGGTGGGTTTATGGTATTTTTTTAGTTGTGCAAATTTTCATGTGTTATTGTAATGAGTGTAAACTATTTTATGCTAAAAAAAGTCAGAAAATCAACAAAAGGATCACTATTGTTGGAGATTTTGGTTGTTAACAGAAATCCGCTATTTTTAGGTGGTTTAATATAGTACAAGGTGAAGAGCCGGGTTGCTAAAGTCACATTGTTTGAGTCTGAATCCTGACTCTACCACTTACTAGATGTGTGACATTAGGCAAATTTCTTTCTTTTTTAAGAAAGCTGATATTATTGGAATAGATTTTAATTAAAAAAACGGAATTAGGAAGTTTGTGTGAAAAGGTTTACATAAAAGAGTTTCATGTAAAAGGCATTCCAGGTAAAAACACCATTGCATCAGTTGGCTTTTGCTGTGTAACAAACGATCCCCAAATTTAGTGGCTTTAAATAACAACCATTAATTTAGCTCATAATTCTGTCAGTACAAATTTGGGCTGGGCTCAGCTGTACTCACTCCTGTATCTGCAATCAGATGTGGCTCCATGTGTCTCATCTTTCAACAGGCTAGAGTGGTCTTCCTTTCCTGGCAGCTGTGCAGGTTTCTGAGACAAAGAGGGAAATACATGTGACCTCTTGCCTAGACTCAGGAACTTACACAATGGCAATCCAATGCATGAAATTGTTCTCATCTCAAGTATTTTGTCTTTTGCCTAAGAGAGGACCAGGGGCTACTTCTATCATATACTAGATGTGCATTGAAAGTCCCTAAAAATGCCCACCCTGGACAAAGAGTAATAATAGTACTGACAGGAAGAGTTCATCGCCCTTATGGGTTGATTTTTATCAAATTGGTAGAATGAATGATGATTTCATCAATATCACAACAACAACTAAGATCATCATAGCTAAGCTTTATTACAAACCTACCAGGCACTGTGGTAAGTGCTTTATACAAATCACCGACCAGAATCTTTATGCACTTATTATAATTATCATATATATTTACAGATGTGGAAACTAGATTCTAGGGAAGATCAAAAAATATCACACCCATGATGGTGGAAATCCTATCAGTATTGTTAACAGCTACAAGCCTAGTGCCTAACACATATTTCTTGAGTGAGAGAATGACTGACTTTCCCAAGGATACATAGCTATTAATCAGTCAAAGAATCTAAACCAGGCTAGACTTATTTCAAGGCTCACGCTGGTCACATGACCAAAGCTGATAAAGGAAGAAATTGTAAGAGTCAGGAAAATGGGTGGCTTATTTTATTTAGCCTTTGTCTAAAAAATGTTAAAGTTGGAATCAGACCAAACTGGAAAATACTACCATTTTAACAGGCTTGGGAAGATGTCAAAGAAGTACTGGTTTTGGCCAAAGTGTGACTGCTGATAGTCTTGCGGAAAATAATTCGGGCAATATGGCGTGGCTAGTAGGAGCCAGGTGCTAGAATCAGGTCATCTGGGTGTCAGTCTCGGCTCTGTCACCTTGGACATCTTGCCTAGTCTTTTTAAACTTCAACCTCCTAGTCTGTAGTGTAGAGATATGATGATATGAAGAAGTTGTGACGATTAAATGAAACAATGATCATACAATACTAAGCACAGTGACTGGCCTATATTAATTAAATACTCAGTAATATATCCTTTTTTGAGTCCGTGATTGACACTTCAGTTACAATATGCTTGATTCAGCCTGATTAATTCTGTAAAGCTGAACTTGAGAGCAGGAACATATGACCTTCTTGAATGAATAGTGAGGTAGAGCCCTGGACTTAGGAAAATTTGCATAAAAACATGAATAAAAGTGGAGAATGCTTTAGTTCTGTCTCTGGGAATGATTTTTTTGCTTCGTTTTGGAGTTATTAACAGGATTAATTTCAGCTCCTCTTCAATGTACTGCCATTATAAGCAATCAATATACATAAACATTTGATTCAATTTAAAATAAAGACTTCAATATCGTATCTTCTTAAAGTATTTTATTGATAAAATTCACTGTAGGTATGAAGTATGTACACTGAGATACAAATTTGCAGTTTCATTTGTCAGTCGGCAGAATTAAAATAGCTTCAATACAAACTAGTTGCTTAAAATGAATGTGTTTAGTTTCTTTTAGTAGTTCAACAAATTGTGAAGTACAGTGCTTCTAGGGAAAATACATGTTTA